AGAAAAAAAAATTGAAAGCAAAGATTGGAGGAAAATAAGTGTCTATCCAAACAGTCAACAGGCAAAAGGTTAGGGAAGTGTTTTTCAAAGTGGGGACTACCAGAGGCTGCTAGGGGGATCTCAGACAGCTGCAGGGAATTTAAGAAAAAAAAAACTTTGAGAACCCCTCGTTTAGGGTACCAATAGGCTGCCAATTTGTTACATGGTCAAGACAAGCAACCACGGAGATCCATCATCTAAAAATTATCACTTAATCTAAWATAAACTACCTTTTGATTGTTAGATGAAACCATAGTACCTCGAATAAACCAACATACGCTAGGAAAAAACATGCAAACACCACACAGAAAACCATGGGCAAACCAAGATTAGACACTGAGACATTTTTTTTGCTGTGGGAGTCTTTCACTCATGAAAAAAAAAAAAAAAACATCTTTCACTTATGAAAGATGGGGTTACTTAAGCCAGAAACATAGTTGTTCCTGCTTTTCTGCTTCAGTATAGGCAATCATATGTGCATGCTGATGTTCATAGTTCAGCTGCACCACAGCATTCATCTCAACAGTCTACAGTTTTCACTTGAACCGTAGGTGGTCATGATGCGCTGATTTGTTAACTGTTTGTTTAAAAGACAGGAGGAAGCAAACAAGGTTTAAGTGATTTCTCAACAGGAACTGAACCCAGTTTTGTAGTCTCTGAGTGATAAATTATTCAAATGTTGAAACAAACAACAAAACAAGCGGCCATGTTTGTCTTCTTCGGTTMGTGGTTTGACCCACAGTGGGTTTTTTTGTCTTTTGTATCTTTGGTGCTTTCATTGTAGATACTATATAATGCAGTGTAGACAGTTGTATTGATTGAATTTTGTGACAGCATTGGTTACAATTGGTTTGTGCTGAGGAGGCTGGTGGACCTCAAATATAGAAAGTTTGAACTTATGCATGCTCTCCATTTCATTTTACCCCTGTTGTGTTTTTTAAAGACTACCCAAATCTAGATTGACCATTGATTCATTAAGAACTTTGGTGTAAACCCCAGCAAAGCCACCACTTCGACTAAATTTGTATTTGCAGGTGTCACAACAATATACCAAGCAAACTGTCACATGGTAATAGGAAATATAAGATGCTGCCTTAATTCTTCACTCTTGCTTTAGTCATGTTTCAGACTGTTAGTGTCTCTGGTGCACTCTTCTTTGGATAAGTTTTTTTCCCGATGTTAGTCATAACGCAGCAGTCAATACAGCTTCCTACTTAAAAAAAAGACAGTTGAGGATTTTTTTTTCTGTGTGTGAGGTGGGGCAGAAATTTTAGATGTATAAAAAGATTAGCTGATTCTATGAGCTTAACTCTGCTAAGGTTCAAAACCTCAAAATCCAGCCAAATTAAAAAAAAAAAACATGTTATTGCAACACTGATCTAAATAACATTACACAAACAAGACAACAAAACAAATAAAACCACACAGAGCCACATAAATGGACAGAGTTTTAGTAAACTGACCTGAACTGACCAGTGTTATAAGTAAAATAGTTTAAAAAATCATTTTTGTTTTGTGTCCTCATGTCCTCTCCATTTCTTATAAATTATTGACATCCACGTCTGCCAGAGTCGGAAAGCCAGGCTGTTTTAAAAGACCTTTTGTGGATGAACAGATTCTGAAATGTCAAACAGCACTCACAGGGTTCATTAATGAGTGCGCTGAAGTTGCTGACTGATACTTTCCTGTTGGCCTGTATGTTGYGTTATTCTTGCCTCTCAGTATTATAGATACAATTCAGCCACAGAATGCAGAAATAAAAACACATCATGCAACTTCATCTGCTTTTCTCAACACAGGAAGATTTAAACAATGATTTAAACTGWAAATTTCTGCATCAAGCTTTTTTTATTTTTTCATTGTTTCCCCAAATCTACGCTACTTGAGGCTTCCCTTCYTATTTATGATTATATTTATTTATATGAGGGTGTCGTCAAAAAAATTACATTACATTGAGCAAATTATCTTGAATAACCAAAAAAAAAAATATTTATTCATGTAAAATGTGTGAACATGGCACACATGAGTGTTAAAAGGTGCATTGTGTCTAGGACAACTTTCAGTGTGATTATTAGATTTAATGAGCCAAAGAGCTAGAGAAAACAGGTAAAGTTTTAGAGTACCCTTGGCTAAGAAAGTAAATAAATAAGAATATTATAAATACTCTTTTAGCCGCACAACAATCAGCCTTTAAAAAAAAAGAAAACAGTTATAGTCGTGCAAATGGTTATATGAGAAAGTAGGTTTTTAAGTATTTTGAGAACATGATTCATGTGAGGGGCTGAGGTTTTTACATTTGTGTTTTAATGTGTCTGAGCCTCATTAATGGACCAAATACAATTTCATGTTACAATCTGTGACAAAGTTTTTTTTTTTTTTTTAAGTTCTGGTTCAAATTCTGACAGCTTTATTTTGTTTGTTTGTTTTCTAAATAGGCGTTTGCACATGGAATATCCTTTTCTCAACACCTGCCCCCGTTTTAGCCATCCACAATGCAGTACTGTCATACAGTTTTCTCTTAGCAGCGGCAGTCGATTCTTTCTGAACAAAGCACAATATTTAAAGTGAGATTTTATCTTTTTAGAAGCTCATGTCAGTGCATTTTGAGGCTCCTTATCGCATTGTGCTGCTGCCCTCTAGTGGTTCACTGCAGAGGCTGCACCATTGCAGATACTGAGTGAAGCTGAAGTGGTGGAAAACTGCAATCTTTAAGACTGTGACACAGATACACTCAGTCTAAGATAGGATATTAGAATAACTTAGTGTTTATTTAGTATATATGTTTAAAAGTCAAAAGGACTAATCAACTATGTTTGATGAAACAGGACATTCAAAACACAAGTGGAACAAAAAAGAACTTATATTGTTTACAATTAAAAGTCACCTGTACTAGGTTTAATATTTTACTACAGTGAGTGTTCATATGTGTACCCAAATCTGATTCATTATAATAATTTAGCAATTTAATAGAAACAGGGACATTTTTGTGGTTTACAAATCCAGGCTATTTTCTTTMCCAATCCAAAATTAAATGCAGTCTCAAATACTGATTGTTTCTACAGAGACATGRTGTGTCCCAAAGATCTTAGATTTGGAATCCGAACTGGGATGTTTAAGCTTATGCATACATCCATTGTCCCCTGCACATTTGTTGGCCGAATCACTGAACAATCACTCCTTGCATGATTCATCCCACATCCCRTTTACTGCTTGGCCTGATAACCCCACCCACAATTGATTGATTTTAAGATTTTATTTCTTGCTTTTGAAGTTCTAAATGGTCTTGCCCCATCATGCTGAAGTGATCTCAACATTTACAGTACACATTTGTAAAAAATGATCAGATCTATCAACCAGTTTTGCATAGATCTYCCAAAATCTGAATTAAAACATAAAAAAGATTGGGTTTTTGCAGCTAGCCCAGTAGTTTACCTCTTCAGATATGAACCAACTCTGACTTTTAAATTAAAAAAAAATCTTTGCAGTGATCTTCGTAGCCCATGGACTATTGTGTTTAGGTTTCTAAAGTGGAGGAAACAGCTCAATGGAAGTTAGGGAGTGTTCAGAGATGATACATACATAAATAAGTGATGTGTTTCTGAAGAAAAGCAGTGGTTGGATCTTTCATCTGCTTGTGGTTTGGATTTCACAGGAAGACTTAACATACGTAGCTAAATTACTGGGTTTGGCTCTGCATTTTCGAAAAAAAGGAATCTCAGTGCCCCGTGTTAGGAAATTTTTATGTCARCTCATCGTATTCAGAATGACTTAGGACTTTCTGAACACTGCCATTTCCCTGATATTGTTAGCACACATGGTCTCTAAGGAAACTAAGGAGGCTGACACTGATGCACCGAGGCTCATGGAGACCCTTAACCATGCAAACGTGGACAGAATGGCTGTTGTCTGAGATTGTCTTCAGTCTACAAAGAATTATTACTGGACAAAAGGCTCAGAATACGGACTTAATACTATCAACTAATGGTGAGATTTTTTTTATTAACTGCTTTATGTTTTTGTGTCGTATACCCTGACAAGATTTTTTTGAACTTTCAGTACTTTTCTTAAATAAATAAAAAATAAATAAATAAATAAATAAATAATCTTTCAGTACATTTTTCAAATACTTAAGCACTGTCAGTACTTGAGTATTTTTGAAAGCACATACTTAAGTATTAATTTGGCAGCGCTACTTTTACATTTATTGGAGATTACTCCAATAAATGTAAAAGTAGCTTTTTGACTGAAGAAATGAAACTGGGTATACTTTGTTCACCATGGGTCAGACGTCCCTCACAACATGGCAACAAACAAAGGCAAGGTTTGAAATTTCCACTGAAGAACTAATGTGTCTAAACAGAAAATAAGTGCTCATTTGTAGACCTGGTTGTTCAAATGCCACTTTATTTTTGCTGTTTCTGTCTTGATAATCCAATCAAACATGATCAATGCTGTGTAAACACTTAATCAGGTTTGGTGTGCAGTATTTTCAAGGATCAATCTCCAGCACGTGTGTTTCCAGTCGTTTTACTAAATTTCATGAGTTCTTGTGTTTTATAGAATTTCACACTGATGAGCAGAGAGTGCTAAAAGGGTTATATAACATGTATAGCCGATTTCTATCCCCATCACTAATTCCTAGGAGGGTGGTTAACACAGCCTTCTTTAGTCCATATTTATTTAATAGAAGCTGCACACCACCTGAATACACTTAGTGTTTTAAGAGGCTAAACCCAGAGMAGACCAGCTGGAAGAAAAGCCAAAACAATCCCCTCCTAATGAGAGGCCTGGTCAATATWTATTCCCCGACATCATCTCTTGTCACACCTCAGCTGCCTCCTCCTTGATTCTCTCTCTCCCTGACACACGAACTAAGATGTTTTTTTTTAACTGATCCTATACATTTGATCCGCCTAGTAATGTGTCAGCATATTGATCCGTTCACCTGTTCTGTGCCTTACCAGAGAGTGAGAGCAGCAGCAGCAGCAGCGCAGCGCTCCCCAGCTGAACGCCAGACCTCCTCCTCTCCTCCTGCGCGGTCGGAGACATTTTCTCTCCTCCTCCTCAAATCTGAGGATGTTCTCTACGGGGGAAAAAAAAAAAAAAGGAGGGTATGTTTAAATTATAAATAAAAGCAGCGCGTGGGCACTTGGTGTGCGCGGTAAAAAATGCAATTAAAAAATATATAAGTGGTATTTTTTTTGCTTGCTTTTAGAGGCAGGACGTGGCTGGCAGTGTCTGTAGCCTTAACGTGACTGGTTGATCTTACGGTTGTCGGCTTGTTGGTGATGGAGGCAGGACACAGAGCAGGAAGCAGAAGGTAAGATGTGTTCCTCCACAAAAAAAAATGAAAAAAAAGTTGAAAACCTAATTATTTGTTTAAAGGCGAATTAGTTATGTATTAGTTATTTATGCATTTATTTATTTAGTTATTGTGTGTGTGTGTGTGTGTGTGTGTGTGTGTGTGTGTGTGTGTGTGTGTGTGTGTGTGTGGGTGTATAATCACACAGTAATCTTAACTTTTAATCTTTCATTTTATTTATGTATTTATTTATTTATTTATTTATTGTGTATAGTTTGTTTTTGTTTTTTAATGAAATAAATAAAAAGTAAATAAATTTAAAATCTAAATACTGTATGTAAAAGAGTGAAGTTAAAGCTCATAAAC